CTCTGTCAGTTCCTAGCAGAAGGCTCAGTGTCCTTGGTTTGGGATAACCTCCGCCACTGCAGCCCCGTTCAGCTCAGGCGTTAGACGCCGCGCCCCAGCTCCATCGTGGATGTGGTTGCACATGCCACATCATCATACAGGAAGGCTGTGAACACCGAGGTCGTGTTCCTAATGTCAGATACATCTCAGAAGTGACTCTCCTGTCCTCATTATCACCTCAGTGCCAGTCCCCCTTCCAGTCGAGTCAAGAATACTGACGTCACGGGGTTATTGTGCACTCATTTAACACATTCAGCAAATGAGACAGAGAGACCCACCCTCTCTCAGTGACATGACTCTGTCCTCTGAAGGATGTTTCTGAAGATGAGTCTGCCGCGTTAAGCCTTCGTCAGCCTTAGTTCCTGGGTTTTGTGTGGGGAGGTCCAAGACCTTCGTTTCTGTTATTATGCATCGGGAAAAAAGGGCTGCCAGGTGAAAAGTGTCTGTTTCGGTGTCATTAGAGAAATGAGCTCAGTACCAGGCCAGTCACAGTATTTCTAGTCTTCAGGTTGGATTGCTGAAAGTTATATAATAAGAGCACAACTTAGGTTTGCTTATCACTTCAGTGTCGGTAATCATAGCCAACATTTGTAGAGCACTCACTCTGTGTTAGGTGCTGTAGAAAACACTTATACACAGCTCATCTCATTTGATTGTCACCACCCTGTGAAGTAGACAGGACTGTTCAATTTGAGATCCCAGAGTAAACTTTGTCTTTGACGAGCCTGAGTCTGAGACTTGTTCCAGGTCACCCAGATGATAAGGACTGGGCTTTTAGCTCTTAAATACTAGGATTGTGTGTGTCTGATTCAGAGCAGTATTTTTGGTACTGCGCTTACTACACAGTCGGCCTTCAGTAAACATTTGCTGCATGAATGAATGAATGAATGAATGAGAAAAGATGGGGATAAAACTCTTAATTATGTACCTGCCTTTCAAGCGCTTTTTCTAGTTACTTCAAAGATTAAATGAGTAACTATCTGTAAAGTGTTTGAACGTGACAGACTCATAATAAGTAATCGGTATGTTAGCTATAAATACGAACCATAATCTCAGAACTGATTATTAAGTTTTTATGGAGAACTTCTATAGAAACAATTGATCAGCTTGAAGAAAAATTTCATAATAAATTACATATCTGCTATTATACTATTTTATACCATTTTTGTGTACTCTTAGATACCGAATACTAGATGTCCCTGCCACTCTGGGTATCACCCAACATTGAGATTTTCTTTACTACATTTATTCACTCCAGAGTAAGACGCATTATTGTTTTGACATAAACTTGAGCCAAAATGAAAACGAGGCATTTTCAGCTCTGTTTTTACCAGGTGGTGGGAAAGCTAGTCATGGAGATGCCAGGTGCTTTTTCTGGTGAACTTTTCCTGTGCGTGATCGAAGGGCAGTCTTTGACTCATTTTTCTTTCTAACTGAATAGTCATCAGAATTTCCCCAGAATCATGAGAGCAGGTAAACTTAGTGCCAGCCCGTTGAGCAGCTCTTGCCTAAGTTTCCTTAATTTGGTTGGAAGGAATTCTTACAAAAGCAGTTCGTTGGCTTATTTTATTTCCCATCCACCCTCCTTGGGGATACAGAGAGCAGCCTCGTGTCAGCTGCCTCACGTCCTTTCCTAAGGCCTTCATAGGAAAACCCCCAAATATGTCACAAGGTTTCACATCTTTTAGTCATTTTTATTTCTAACAAGAGTGCGTCTTATTGGCTATATTACCACATAGAAATGTAGGATGTTATTATTCCAGCTGAAAGAGGCAATGTGGGGGCCCTGACCTTTCAACCCACCACCCCTGCACTCCCCTCTGGCCCCCACACTTTTCTCCAAGTCATTGTGAAAGGTTTTCTGAAGTTTGAGGCCATTCTAAGAACTAGGACTCCTATCCGCATTATTAGGGGGTATATTTCTTTTCTTCAAACACAGTCCCTCATCCTTTCTTGATTATTGATGTCATTATGGGTTTGGTAACTATTTTTTAAGGACCAGTAGTGTGCCCAGTTCTGTGCTGTACAGTGAAAGGGCACAGAACTAACCCCATGGGTCTTGTGTGGCCTAGGAGAATCAAAGTCAAGGATAAAGCACTAGGGTGGCTGCAACTGTGGTGTTGCTTTCAAACTGAGTCTCCCATCCAGTCAGCCCAAGGTTTTAATCCCAACTCCATCCCACAGGCTGTGTGGCCGAGAACCAGCTGCTTAGCCTCGTGAGGCCCCGCTTCCCCTTCCGTGAGGCCCTGCTTCCCCTTCCTTTGGGGGGTTGGCGCCCCGCTTCCCCTTCCGTTGGTGGGGGGCGGGGAGGCCAGATCAGCCTCAGCAGGGCGCTGACTCGGACTCAGCACACAAGTACCCTCGACTATTGGTAGCTGCACCCTATTGCTACAAATGCAGATTTTTCACAGAAAAGAATATTACTGTGTTGCTACCTATAAGGAACCTGATTCCATGACAAATTCTTATTGCCACCCCCAAGAACTCTGTCCACTCATACCTGAGAACCCGGTCCTAGGCCAGAAACAACACAGAAAGTGTGAGGAGGCTCATCAGGGACGGCAAGGGCCCCAGCCCCCGAGAGACCACACAGCCACTGAGCAGTTACAGTTACGGTTACAGTTACGATGCTGGCCCAGGGTTGGAGGAGTTCCAGGGACTTCGTGAGTGGCCGAGGAGGGAATGGAACGCTGGGGGGCCTCACTGACTCCCGGTCATGTCAGCAAGTGCTGGAAGTAGCGCATATCTCTGAGCCAGTCACGCTTTGTCAGCCAGGCTGACCTGAAAAGCCCAGTGGGAGAACTTGTCCTCTAAGTCGCAATCGTTGACAGATGGGAAACACTGATAGTCTGAAAAGGCGCGGGCTGTCATTCCCCCAGAGTCGTTTTGCAAAGGCCTCTGAAGAATGGGGTATATAGAGCGTGAGGGAGTGTATAGAGGTGGGTAATGCTGGCATTTGGGCCACTTATAAAACCCATTCGTGTATATTCTATACTTGCATAACACCCTGGGAGCCGTGGAATGGAGTTGGTTCTCATTAAAGCCATACCGAGGAGGGCCGTACTGTCTGGTATATTGAGGTAATAGCCATGACCCGACTGCCCTCCTTTTCAGGAATTCCTGCACACCTTTTCAAGAGTTAACTCGAAACTCACCTTGCCACAAAGCACTTTCCCTGCCCCCTCTCATCGCTCTTGGACTCTGAGGATCCAGCACTTGGATGTTTAGTCTTAATCACTGTAAATGTTTTAGAAGTCCTGTAACTCTGTGTGTGTGTGTGTGTGTGTGTGTCTCCCCCACCCACCCACCTTTTCCTTTTAAGAGCTTTTCAATTCACCCTAGTGCAGTGTCATCCTACTTCAAACCGCTTTGTCCACGCCCCTCCACCTCGACCCATCCCTGCATAGAGCTCTCTTGTCAGGCCCCCTTCTCAGGTCCTTCGAAGGCATCCGGGACCTTAGCATGGGGGCCAGGGCTCTTCGTGTAGCTCCTGTGTCCCCCCATCCTCCCATGTCTGGGCCCTGCTCACCAGTGCTCACCTTCCTGCGCCCCCAGCCCGTGCTCCTCCTGCCTCACACAGGCCTCCCCTCCGCCCGCTCAGGCCTCTGGAGCCTCCTCTCCGTTTCTTTCCCACTGCTCTGTTCTCACTGAGTTGTCGTCGCTGCTGTCTGCCTCTCTCCTCCAGGAGCACTCACCTTCCGCGAAGACAGGCACTGTGTGTGGCTGCTGCACCCTGTATCCCTCGGTCCTGGCACCCACAGCGCCTACTGCCTGGCACAGAGTAGCAGACACTCAACCAATATAATAAATGACTGAATGACTCACATAAAAAGGGTTGAATAAGATAATATCAACAAAGAATTCACTATTGTGCCTGGGGCATTCTTGGTCCTCAGTATATGGTTGATTGTTTCACTGATGTTATTCATTCATTAAATTATTAAGTATCTGGATAGTACCTGTGCGGACACAGCAGCAAACAAAATAGGTAAAACTCTGCCCTCGTGGGCTGTGCATGCTCTGTGTGTGTCCCCTGTTTCTCTCTCAGCCTGCTCCTTCGACCTTCTTCTGTCTCCTCCTCTCCCTGCCTTACCTGTGAGAAGGGTCACCAAACTGTAGCCACTCTTGCCAGAGTCACCTTGGCGAGGGAAGAGGCCCAGGGGCTTTCAGTAGACTCCAGCAGCTCTGCGGGCTGCTGACAAGAGAATCACCTCCTCTGCCCCAGCTGGAATAAATAGGTCAGGAGTAAAATAGGAAAAGCAAAAGGCCAAAGCCTGGAGAAGCGCGTGCTGCTCAGGACCTCGAAACGGCAGATATTCTCGCTTACCAGCCAGGACTGCAGCGTGCAGGCCGGATCGCCTGGCAGGGTTGTAGAGCCAGATCTGAGCTTTCCCTGAGCCTCAGTGAGGAATCAGCTCAGCCTCCCTCTCTGCAAAGCTGAAGCCACCACCACCGGTCCTGGAGGAGGAGGTAGCCAGGCTAAGCTATGCAGAACAGCCGCCGCCCCGGATGTCCGGCATTGCACTGCGGACACGGCTCAGGAATTGTGAGGGCAGGTCCTCCTCTCCAAGGTGACTCAAACGTGAAAGCAAAGTCTCTCAAGAAGCAGCAGCCGGTCTCTCTGGAACCCTGTCTGCTCCCCGCTGCAGGGCCCATTCGCCAGTCTGATGTTCTCATCCTACCCTCTCTCCGTCCTGGTCCCTGCTCCTCTCAGCAAACTGACATTCGCTGACTGGTACCGCGGGGGTTATTTGCCCTTCCTGCCCGAAACGTGTGTGTTCTCAGGAGTCATGTGGAAGCCGGATCTTGTAATGCTCCAGAGCTCTCAGGCCCTGTGACCAACTAGGGGAGGTGGGCTCGCTGCACACCAGACCACACCACCACTTATAAACTGCTGCTGCTTCTGCTTTTGCTTTTGCATGGAACTGTGAGGTCATAAAATCATCTTGTTTTCGTTGCAGAAATTTCCAGAATTGAAATTCAAATACGTGGAAGAGGAGCAGCCCGAGGAGTTTTTTATCCCCTATGTCTGGTCCCTGGTCTACAACTCGGCTGCAGGCCTGTACTGGAACCCACAGGACATCCAGCTGTTCACGATGGATTCGGACTGAGGGTGGGCTCCACCTCCCACCCCGACCCCCTCCAGCCAAGCAGCCCTCTAGTTATTTCCTCTCTGGGGAACAGACTTAGACGGATCGCCTGGTGTATCTTCAACTAGAGAGGATCACGCAGGCTCGTTTCCCTTGCACACTTGGATTGGGAGAATCGGTGCCCGTTGGCAGTAAATCATTCAGCTTAGATTGTAGTGCAGAAAGTGGGGGGAGGGCATACACAACAATAATAAACACAAAAACCTGCTATTCCACATGCAGTTTTATTTATTTCTAAACCAAAATCTAGAGCTTTCTGGGAACCTGATGCCTAGGGCCTATAACACTTCACCAGTACATACTTTTTTTTTTTTGGCATGTTTAAGATTTTGTGTGTGTGTTTCCACATTAAGAACTATCAGTCTGAAAAGATGACGAGGCAGGAATTAATAAGGAAGTCACGTGTATGGTGCGGCTGCTTTGCAGCAGGCACAGGGTTTAATAAACACTGTGCCCGGGCGGTTGGCTATAAGCCTTTAGCTCCTCTGCCACTTTTCCTCAAAGAAAGAAGTGTCTCCTTCTCACGAAGCCCAGATTAGCTTTTCTCTGAGCTGTAGCTGAATTAAATCGGAGTCTAATACAAATTAAGTTAATCTTCTCTGTATTATCGGGAAAAGAAAATTTTCATTTCAAAAGCAATCTTTTTTTTTTCAACCAGACTAATAGGAGAAAAAGGAGACCAATTTGATTAATACAGTATCCTACATGAAATGCAAAACATGTTTTCCTCTTCATTTCTGACTGCATTTAAAGTCTTGGGGGCCTAGCCATGCGCGTTCTCCCTTGCGTGGGAGGGAGGAGCTTGTCGGAGAGAAGCTGCCAGAGCACTGGGCAGTGGCGGCTCTGCGGGCGGAGCAGCACCTTCCTGTCGGGGCCCCCTCCACGTTCACGGTCCCCGCTTCGCAGTCTAGATGAGGCGCCCAGTGTCACTCGCAGAGACAAAAAAGTATTGGCTTTTCTGCATGGAGTCACATGATCCCACATGAGACTAAGCATCCTGCTTCAAGGTGCTGTCTTCATATCCGTATCAAGAACCAGCTTCTCTCTGGTCCCTGGATCCCCGGGCTGGAGGCCTGAGTTTTGTTGGTCCAGCTCTGGCTTCTGAAGGTCTGGGAGGAACCATCTGCAGTCACACCAAGCTCTGGAAAAGGGTGAAAACACTGCCAATATGTCAGTGCACGTGAAACGCCTGGGCTGCTCCATCCTTCAGCAGGCGTTCGCGGTCAGCCGGGCGGTTTCACTATCCTCGCCAGGACCAGTGCTGAAACCAAAGCTCCCTGAGGCTGGCCGATGAAGGGCCATCGCTGGGGTGGACCGGGAGGCAAGTGCAGCTTGCCTGCTGTCTCCACGAGTGCTGGGACTCTCTTATTTCACTTGAGATCACCCGGACAGGTCGGCACACCAACAGATGAAGCATATTAAGGGCTTCTGCCTAGTCTAGCTCGTGGGGAGAAACCATTGAAGGTGTAAGGAATAATCCTATTAGTCAGAAGGGAGAAGTGATTTGCTTATCATCTCAGGTAGCAATTTTTATGTGCTGTGTGGGGAAATCATACACAGCTTTAATTTGTTTCTGAAGCATTTTGATATGCTTCCTTTCCTTTAAACCAAAACAAAATTTTCAAAGGGTCACATGGAGCAACCGAGCCTCTGGTAGGACCACAGAACTGTCCTCAGAGACTAAGGGCTGGGCAGTACCATGGGACAGTCACTGGACTGCAGGACCGTCAGCTCTTGTGATGGGAGGAAACATGGTCCCCCAAAACTCAGTCATAGAGGGCAGGCAACCAAAGATGCCTCAATCGAGGGAACCCCACAGTCTTCCCCAGGCCACCTGGCTCACCGAGGTGCGCCCAAAGCCCCGTTTTCCAGCAGTCTCCTCTCCCTCCTTACCCCGCTACCCGCTCTTTGAATGAACCACACAGCAGAAGTGCTCACTGGCCTGAAAGCTCAGCTGGAGCTACAGCCTCAGAGGCCGCATGTGAGTACATGTTCCAGACACCTCTGCATCACCACCTCGGCTCTACCAATCCAGCAGAAGTGGCTTATTTTTGTGAAAGATTTATGATGTGACAATAAATTTGAATGATATGCTTGAATTATGCTTTCATTAACGTGCCAAGAAATTTTTTGGTTTTCCACAAAGTAAAAATGTATGAAATGAGGCAATACAGGACCATCATTTGTTAGGAAGGAAATTAACATCTGATTTTCACCGAAGATACAAAGCTGTTATTACAGTGTGTCAACTTATCAACAAAGGGTTCTGACACAATATTTATTTTTAAAATAAATATCACCTTCCCTATCGAGAGTTCAAGGTACTGTACAAAAAAGCTTCAAAATTATAACCCGTTCCCACAGTCAACATTGAGGCTAGTGTCATAGGATCTGGGAACACGGCCTTGCAATGTTGGCATCATGCGACAGCCGCCATTCAACAGTGCAGCCAGAAGTTGGGGTATGGAGCAGCTCAAGGACAAAGACAGAGAAAGGAAAGAAAAGAAGGGCCCTGAAGGTGAGGCACAGAAAGTACACTGTACACACAGTCCCTCCTTAGGAAGGAGCTTACAGGAGCCAGAATAGCGGAGGATGGAGAGGAAAGAACACAGGACCAGCATCAGTCAGACACTCAGCAGCTGCCTCGAGCTTGTTAGGGTACAGCCAAGAGAAACGTTTAGTTGTGGTTTAGGCCCTAAATTTCATAAAACATCGTTCTTTAGACAGCACAGTGTCCTTGAGGTTCTGGGGAGCCAGAGTTTTGCCTTTGGCATTAAAGCTCTCTGCATAACTGAGTCACTCTGTGTTCCTTTCTGGAGCCATAAATTAGAGTTGTGGTACTTGCTGATCTTTTATAGGCTTCAGTTTGCAAGGTCAACCCTTTGGGTCTTAATTTCCTCCTAGGCACAATGCCTGCAGTTTCAGTAGCTGCCATTTGATATTAGGGACTGATCCTTGGGCTTTCCGATGCCAAATTCAGGGCTATTCCAGTGTCCTACATTGCCTCCAGGGGTCAAGGAGGTCAGGTTTTCCATTCTCTGATGAGCCAAACTTCCTCTGAGTATGGAAAGCTGGGGAAAGGGTTCTGGCACACGATTCACAGCAAATAATTCATTTTTACTTTTTAAGAACTCAAAGCATAAAATGTAATCCCAGTATATCCCTTTAGGGTCCCCCATCCAAAACAAGGCACTCAGTCAGATCACGTACGGCAACCCCTGTTCTCCTGACTTTACAAGACTACACAAGTGCCAGCTACTCAGCCCCTGGAGCTCTAGAGCTGGCCAGAGATAAAGCAGCCCCATACGACTGACCAGGTGATCCTTGGCTTTGGGATGACTTCAAACAAAATTTTTTAATATTTTGGCCAGATTCCCAAGTTGTCCGTAGCTGGCAGGTTGGTTTGGCTTACCTACTCCTCTGTTACTCTCGGTATACTATCCTTCATGGATTCTGTGGCCCAGCTTCTAAATCACCTCAGTCCCTGAATGTGGGTTGAGGCGAAACCAGATTACTCATGTCCCTATGTTCCTAGCACATGTGCATTTTCTCCGGAGGAAGCAAATTGTTATGGACCGAATGTTTGCATCACCCCCCAAATTCATATATTGAGCCCTAATCCCCAGTGTGATGGTATTAGGAGGTGGGGTCTTTGGGAGGTGATTAGGTTTAGATGAGGCCGTACTAGTGGAGCCTCACGATGGGGTTAGTGTCCTTACAAGAAAAGACATCAGAGAGATTCTTCCTCTCTACCATAAGAAGATGTAGCAAGAGGACCACCGTCTATGAGCCAAGAAGAAGGGTCTCACCAGGAACCAGAACATCCAGCACCTTAATCCAACCTCCAGAACTGTGAGAAGCAAATGTCTGTTGTTACAGCAGCCCAAGCTAAGACAGGAGCATAACCGAAAGCTTCAAATTATTCCTATACTGTTACAATCAGAAATATCCAAATATATGAGAAGACTAGATAATGTGAATTAGAACTGTCAGAGAAACATGTACACACACAACAGAAATAAAGGATACAGTGAGGACGTCTGACCTAAACGTAGTTGGAATCTCAAAAGAGTAAAAGAATGGGATATTTACCTAAAGATTGGCTGAGAACTTTTCCAAAGATCATAGAAGATATCAAGCCATTAATTCAAGAAGCCCCAACAAATCTCAAGTGGGATAAATAAAACAGACAATCCACACCTAGACACATCATAGTCAAACTGTTCAAACCCGAAGAAAAATTTTAAAGCCGCCAGTGGGGGTTGGGGTAGGGGACGAATTACTATCAAAGTAGTAACGGTTAAACTGACCACTAACTAAACAAAAGAAGACAATGCAATGGTGCCTTTAAAGCACTGAAAGAAACTGACCACCGACCTAGAAATTTTTAACTGGGGGAAACTATCCCACAAGAGTGAAGACAAAAATAAAGACATTTTTAGATTAACAACCAGAAGAATTCATCCGCACACATACCCTAAAGGAAAATGAAGAGTGTTCTAAAAGCAGAAAGACAACGATCTCAAATGTAAGGATTGAAAAGCATTGAAAACAAGAAATGAAACTATAATTGCGTCCTGTGAAGTTTTAAATATGTATTGAAACGTGTGAGAGTAAAGGTGTGGGATTACGTGGAGTTTGTATTCTAAGTCACTTGCATCATCCAGTAAGAGCGTTTTTAAAAACCCCATTTAATATTAGACTTGGATAAGTCGAGGATGCA